TAAGCGAATGAATTGAAAAAAGTGGAAGTACTAATAAAATGAAGAAAAGCTAAATGTAGTTTTTCTTTTCAAAAAAAAGAAAAGAAAATAAAATGCAATAAAGCTACTTTGTTCAAACTAAGATAATTACATCATCTAAAAAAAGTGGAAAAAAAGGAAGAGAAAAAAGATTTATATTAGCAATTTCATGCCAATAATAATAGAAAGAACAATATTTCCACTTTATGGTCATTAAATGAACTTTCTGCTTAAAAATATTGATGGCAGCAAAGTTTGATCAAAAAAGAAAGGAAATAACAAGAAGAGGGAACTAATGAAATCTGAAAATAAAAAAAAAAAGCTGTGCTTTGTCTGTTAAATGATTATTTAGGATAAAATTTTAAGAAGAAGAAATGAAATTAGAATGATTGTTACATAATTATTTTAGATCAACATTGATTTCAGAAAGTATTTTCATCAAACTTTGCATTTTATTTTCTGTTTCAATGATGAAACATTTCATTTGAATTATTTCATTTTCTTAATTTCCACTTTTAGCTCAGTTTTTTCCTTGGTAAAAGTTTAAATTTTTATTTTCCAACCATTACATATTTTAGCTATTGATATTGGTGTATAAAAAAAGAAAAAAGGAAAAAATAAAAGTTAATGGCATTTGGATTATACGGTATTACTGTAGCAATTTGTTTTGATGTGATACATTACCCAGCATCATACTGTAAATTTGACTAGTTGAGTATGGTAATCCAAACATCATAAAAACATATTATCGATTTTTTTTCTATGCTTATTATTCGAAAGTTCATCATTAGAGATAAAATTTACAGAACAATTTAATTAAGGATTCCTTTTGGTATTTCTTCCGTTACGCGTCCTTCTCGCAAATCTTTTCTTGCAAAATAGACTGTGAATAATTCAAGTGATATTTCTGATTGGTAATTTTAAACTTTCATCTGAATATGGGAATTTCGCAATAATTTTAATTAATCTTCAAATTAATTCAGTTTAATAAAAACTGCAGTATTTGAAAAATATATAAATGTATTAATTTAATTTATATTGTAATCTATTCCACTTAATTATTTTAATCATTTTATTTTTCATTATTATAGTTTGTGTTGAGTTGCTATCATCTAATTTAATTAAATATCTTTTTTTTTTTGTTCTAGGACAAAATTCGTCTGCTGCAAGAAGATCTCGAATCCGAACGTGAACTTCGAAATAGAGTAAGTGTTTTTTCTATCTCATGTAAAAAAATTATCTATTGAAAAAATTTCATTCGTTCAAAAATTTTTAATATTACATGTTAAAATAAAGTTTTTAAAAAGCATAGGAATCTTATTACTTTTTTGCGAGAGTTAAGGATTTATTTAAATTAAAAATGAGTATTAGAAATAAAGAACTGGACCATTCTTGTAAGTAAGCCAATAAAATGTATTTTTAATTTTTCAATTAAGAAATTTTTATCACTGCTAAATAAATATTTTGCCAAGCAAATTTATATCTATAAATTCAGATCGAACGAGAAAGGGCTGACCTTAGCGTACAACTGATAGCATTGACGGATAGACTTGAAGATGCGGAAGGTACTACTGATAGCCAGGTATGATCTCTAATATTTAATTACATTTCAATTTTTCTCAAATGTTTTCTTATATTTAGAGCATTTTATTTTCATTTTTTTTTTCAATGAAATTATGATTAAAAACGCTGTTAGTTATTTTTATAACACTTCTAATAATCACTAAAACCGCCAGGAAATTTATTGATTCGACTGATATGCTTATCAAATTATTGATTTATTTGTATGATAAAATTTTACTTCTACTCATAACACTTAGATTGAATCAAACCGTAAACGTGAAGCGGAATTGCAAAAATTACGAAAACTATTGGAAGAATCACAATTAGAAAATGAAGATGCAATGAATGTTTTACGTAAGAAACATCAGGACGCATGTCTCGATTATACCGAACAAATCGAGCAATTACAAAAGAAAAATTCAAAGTTTGTATTTTGAATAAAGATTTTTTTTTTTTTGAATTACAACTTTTCATTCATTCTTTTTCGTTTTTTTTCTTATAGAATTTCTTTTTTTTTCTGAAAAAAAAGCTTTTCAATGAAATAAGAAACGGGAAATAAAGAAAAAATACATCCTTTTAAAATAATTAATACAAAGTATTTCAAGATTTTCATTCTTCTATTTACTATATCTTTTTTTCCACTCTTCCATATTTTTTTTAAAAAATATTTCATTACTTTTTTTTCATTTTTTTAAAAAAAAATTTAAATAATCACGAAGAACGGGAGAGAAAAGATGCGAAAGATAACAAAAAGGAATTGAATGAACAAGGCGATCTGTTTACTTAAAATTGTGATAAATGTGATAAATAAGAAATGATATCAGCAATTAGTTTAGGATTTTATATTTCACTGTTAATTTAAAAGACAGTAGCAAAATAGTTGTTTGTTTGTTTTTTTTTTACTTTTTAAAGAAGAAAAAAGAGCAGAAAAAAGGGAAGAAAAGTAATTAAATTTAAAAGTTAGCATCTTGGTTTCATGATATCTCATTTTTTTTGTTTTTTTTTTTAGTTTTTGTTAATATAGAATAATAGAAAAGTAAAATTAAAAATGAAAATAATTAGAATGAATGAGATGAACAGTGCTAATTATCGTTTTTAATAATTTATTATTTACATATTTATGAGCATAGTTATATTTTAATGCTTACTATTTACTGACAATAAGGTCATACCACTTGCATATTTATAAGAAGTAGACAAAAAAACAAACAAAAGAAGAAAAGGAAATTTTAAAAAAATGTAATAATTAGTCATTAGAGAAATATTTGCTTTTTGAGTTAATTGTATGTTTTTCTATTGATTTAATAAAATGAAATGATAGTCTTCGAGCAATTTTTTTTTCTAATCAATTCTAAGGAAAATTTTAGCAAATTAAATTCAAAATGTTAATTACTAACATTTAATGCTAACAGCAATTAGCAGTAAATAATTGAAAAAAGAAATGAGTATGTGCGTATAAATACAGTCAGTATGTTTACTTGTAAATACAGTCACGAATTTCAGCTTTTCGACCATTTACTATAGCAAAATTTATAAACATCAAATTAAAACTAAATTTACAAAGTCTCAAGATTGTCCCTTTTTATCTCACCAGGACAAACTTTTACACTTAATGTGCAATAAATTCATATTATTTGCATATTTATAAACATAATTATCACTTTAATAAGTTTTAGGTTTAGACGACAATGATAAATAATTTAATCATTGAATTCAAATGTGTATAATTGAAAAAAGTTTGATCAAAAAATTTATAAAAAAAAATGAAACTAACCATAAAGAATTGTTGAAAATTTCAGGATTGACCGTGAACGTCAACGTCTGCAACATGAAGTAATTGAGCTGACAGCGACAATTGATCAACTTCAAAAGGATAAGGTGACGTCTGTCACTGCTCCTCCTTACCCTTTTCTTTCTCAATTCTTCCTATTTCCCTTTTTTATTTTATCCCATTTTTTCTTAAGCTTTTGATGGATTGATATGATAAACAAATGATTAATAATATCAGTCTAAAATGATACAAAAAGATGGAAAGAAAAAAAAAAACGAAATGAAAATGAAAGAATAAGCGGTAGAAAAGAAGTGAAAAAAAAAGGAACTTTTAAAGACGATATTTTTTAAACCCTAAAATAAATCCTTTCAAAAAAAAAAATGCTCTCTTCTAATGTATTAAATAAAATCTTTTAATAACATCGATTTATTCGTTTTGTTTTTGTGAATTCAATCGGAATAATATGTAGTTCGATAAATTGACTAAAAATTTCCAAACTCTTCTTTTTTTCTCTTTTCTTTATTTTTTTAGAAAACAAAAACGAAGGGAAATTTGTATTAACAAAAGAGGTATAAGTTTAGCTTTCAAAACAAAATAAATTTAGTTAGAATTTTTAAGGATGTAAAGGAATGAAATATTTTTTTTTCCTTTGATTGAAAATAGGAAGAAGAAATTGGATAGTAATTTCAAAGTTTTCCTTAAATTTAAATGGTCAATGACCAAAGGGACGTTTAACAAATGCTTTGCTTTGAATTCCTTTCTCTTTTTTACAATGATAGCAAAATAAAAATGAAATGACATGTAAATTGGAAATTGAAATGCGACAGGGATGCAATTGAATAATAAGTAATAATGAATAAGTGAAGATAGTTAGCTAGCTTATCCTTATATATTTTTCGTTTAATAAACGAAAATTCAATTTCATAAAAAATAATTATTCGGCGAAAAAAAAATTATCTAAAATTGATGTTGCTATATGTATACTATATTTATACTTATTTATCATTATATAAAAATTCAAAAAATATTATAACATATTTTATTTCACTTAGCAAATAAAAAATGAAATTTCAAAAAAAAAAAAACGAAACGAAAGAAATATAATATTCTTCTTACTTAACATATTAAACTTCTAGTGAAATAGTTTAACAAACAAATATTTGAATAAATAGTAAAGGGGCAAAAAAAAGAAAATTTACGAAAAAAAATGGGAATATTAAGTGAAGGATATTACGATTTAATTAGTGATATGAAAGAAAGAAATTATTATTTTTTTGTTTGTCTGAGATTATCATAATTAAAATTACTTCATAAATGCCCCATTTTTGAATTTCCAATAAATGATTATTAATTTTTTCTTATTATTGAAATTTAATTTTAAAAAATTTTTAAACAACCGTTGTAATTGTAATGGGATGATAGATGGAAAACAGCTGTTAATGCTTTAGTCGAGGAATTTTTTTCTTCATTCTATTTTGTGTTTTAACGAAAAAAAAAAAGTTTTGCAATGCATATATTGTTGAATGAACCATTCGTTAGAATATGCGCTAAAAATAACTTTCCATTTCATTCTCAATCATTAAACATTTTTATCAGAAATAAGTTTTTTTTTTTCTCATTTTTAGGAAATTTGTTCTTAAATGAATTAATAAATTTTTATTAATTTTTTATGCATTTTTAGAGAATTCGTTTTAAATGATTTAAAAAGGAATATTAGTTAGTAATTAAATATTATTAATAAAGAAATGCATATTCATTTGTTAAGCATTCATTCCATTCAATTTCTAGCATTTGGCGGAAAAAGCAGCGGAACGTTTTGAAGCACAAACTATCGAATTGGGTAATAAAGTGGAAGATTTAAATCGACATGTTAACGATTTAGCTCAACAACGTCAACGTTTACAAGCTGAAAATAATGATCTTCTCAAAGAGGTTCATATTAATTGATGTGACAATTTGAACATTGTTAAATTTGACATTTTAAAATATTACATAACATTAAATTGGCTATAAATTTCACGATAGGGGAATGAAATTAATGATTCAACATTGTACCTTACTTTACTGAAAATTTCAGAATAATTTTGAAAAAAAAATCTCTGAAATTCTATGAAGAAAAACAAAAAATAATAAATGATATTTGAACATTCATCCAGAAAATTTATCGTACAATGACATGACAGAAATAAATAACGAATTGATTAGATAAAAAAAAATTTTTAGCTTGCTATATTGAAAAAAAAAAATTCAATTTATAAAATGTAGTTTTCAAAATTCGTTTTTCATTTATTGTGAGTGTTTTTTTTGCTAATTCTTCATGTCTTACAATTATTACTTTTATCATAAAAGTCACGAAATATTGCTTATTTATCTAATTGTTCAGGTTAGATTTCAAAATACAATTACATTTAAGCAATATTTCAATCATACATTAAACTTACTATATACTCGGATTTTGATTATATTCGGCTAATATTTTCAATTAGCACAGCATTTTCTCTCATCTATTTATTTCTTTAAAATGATTTCAACATGGTGCTCTAATTCAAATGTTATCTTTTAATCAGTATGATAAGTTTTATGATCATAAATTTCTAGCATTCATCCATCCATTCTATTACTTCTTATCATTTCTTTCCATCTCAAAATACTTCATTCATTCAAAATTCGATTTCGTCCTTTACTTTTTTTAAATGCCAACAATAACCAATTTTTTCAGTAGGAATAATTTATTTTCTCCGTTCCATTTTCACTCCTTATTTATTCAAAATTTAATTGCTATTTTTACTCTGCTAAATGCTAAATGGAAAAAAATGGTTTCACGATAGAAATAAATTTATCACAATTTTGAAAAATGCTATTTTTTAATAATATTACTATATAATTATCTTATTTATACAACAAATTTGCCTTCTAAATATAATTGATACGATTATTTATCCCATCCATTTATCAAAATTAAAATATTCACCCGCTGAATATCTTTCTTTTTTAGATTCACGATCAAAAAGTACAATTGGATAATTTGCAACACGTCAAATATCAACTTGCGCAACAACTTGAAGAAGCACGTCGACGCTTGGAAGACGCTGAACGTGTACGTTTTTCACTTTTTTCTGCTTTCTCCTTCTAATTCATTGTTTTAGCAAAATCATTTCATCTCCGAAAAGAAATTGTTTAATTATTAAATGTAAAGAAAGCATGAAATGAATTTATTGTAAAATTGAAATTATTACGATGATTTTTAAAAGAAATAAATGCTTAAATATCAAATATCTGTGAAAAAAGAATTTTTTTTCATTTTTTCATTTTATATGTTTGAAATTAAAAAGCAGTTTTTTTTTTTTTCACTTCTTTTGTTCCTTTTTTTAGGAGCGCTCTCAACTTCAAGCACAACTTCATCAAGTACAATTGGAATTGGATTCTGTACGTACGGCATTGGATGAAGAATCAGCAGCTCGTGCAGAAGCTGAACATAAACTTGCCCTGGCAAATACCGAGATTACCCAATGGAAGAGTAAATTTGATGCTGAAGTGGCTCTTCATCATGAAGAGGTTAGCAAAATTTCAGTTCTGAACTGAAAATAATAATAAAGTGATTTTGTATTTTAAAAATTTACAAATTTAGGTTCATCAATTCAATTCTCTTTTTTTGCACATTCAATTCAACACTGTTCATATTTTCAGAGAATTAAGTTGAAAATTTAGTAATCATATATTTGAAATTAATGAATATATTATTTCTCAGTGATATTAATATTACAGTTAATCTCCCGTAATATTGTTTCGTCTATTCGTTTCTCCTAATTAGCTCTTCTAATTAATTATTTTTTAAAAAACATAGGGAGCACTTCTATCAATTTGATTTTATTTAATTTATATATTATTTCATTTTGGATTAAATTTCTTTCCAATATTATTTAGTTTAAAATTTTTATTTCCTAGCTTGAATTAATTGCTTTTATTTTTTTCATTTCAGGTTGAAGATTTGCGAAAGAAAATGCTCCAAAAACAAGCTGAATATGAAGAACAAATTGAAATAATGCTACAAAAAATTTCACAACTTGAAAAAGCCAAATCGCGTTTGCAAAGTGAAGTTGAAGTGCTCATTGTTGATTTGGAAAAAGCGCAAAATACAATTGCAATCCTTGAACGAGCTAAAGAACAACTTGAGAAAACTGTCAACGAACTTAAAGTACACCTTTTATTATTTCGATAATATATTCAGTAACTTTTCGTTATAATCTTATAAATGTTTTAAACGAAAATTATTACTAATTGGAATTAAGATTTAAAACGAAATTATTTTTTTCTGCCTGGATCCTTTTCAAATACTTTTTTTAACCCCCGTAGAAGTTTTATTTCATTTATTATTGATTTATTGTTTGAACTAAATTTAAAATACAATACGCAAATTTTAGGTACGTATCGATGAACTTACCGTTGAGCTTGAAGCAGCACAACGAGAAGCTCGTGCTGCGTTGGCAGAATTGCAGAAGATGAAGAATTTGTACGAAAAGGCGGTGGAGCAGAAAGAAGCATTAGCTCGAGAAAATAAGAAATTGCAAGGTTTAAAGTTTCAAATAACGATTAAATAATGATCGCAATGAGAGAAGGATAGAATGGGCGAATTTTTTATCTGTAACAAAGAAAAAATATCAGTAAAGAGAAAAAAAATTAAATTTTAAAAAGTTCAATAATATTTCAGATGATTTGCATGAAGCTAAAGAAGCACTTGCTGATGCAAATCGTAAGTTGCATGAACTTGATCTTGAGAATGCTCGATTAGCTGGTGAAATTCGTGAATTGCAAACAGCTCTGAAGGAATCTGAGGCAGCTCGACGTGACGCTGAGAATCGTGCGCAACGTGCACTTGCTGAACTACAACAACTTCGAATTGAAATGGAACGTCGTTTGCAAGAGAAGGTAAATTTGTAAACATAAATTTATAGAAATGAATTTACAATCCAAACTTATTTTTTAAGAATTAATTCTTATGCAAACTTACCATTTAATTACTTATGCATTTACATGCATGGAGACTTTTCAACTTCAACTAATTCAGTCAGTTCATGCATGAATTTCAGGAGGAAGAAATGGAAGCACTTCGTAAGAATATGCAGTTTGAAATTGATCGCTTAACAGCTGCATTAGCTGATGCTGAAGCACGTATGAAGGTACGGAGGATGAAATCATTTTAAAACTAAGAAAAGAATTTATATTTTTAATTCTGCTTTTATTAGATTGAATGAAATTTGGACTTTCTCAGTTTCAGGCGAATAAGTTTTTTTTTCAATTTCAGGCAGAAATTTCACGTTTGAAGAAAAAGTATCAAGCAGAAATTGCCGAACTTGAAATGACCGTTGATAATTTGAATCGAGCAAATATTGAAGCACAAAAGACGATTAAAAAACAGAGTGAACAGCTGAAAGTGCTGCAAGCATCACTCGAAGATACTCAACGTCAGTTGCAACAAACGCTTGATCAGGTAAATCCTATATTCTTGACTATATCTTGACATAGAAACGGATTATTGCATATTATCAATTCCATTTATCATGATAGCTTTTATTAAAGATATCATCACTATCACTTTTTCTTATAAATGCATGGAAAATAAAATAACTATAATTTATCAGTTATTTTTCTGCCATATCCTTTTAAATTTCAAAAGAAAGTATTAAATTTTTATTTATTCAAAATTATTAGCCCTATGATAAAATCACATTTTGTGCAGTGTAAAAGTAGCAAAATTTTGTAATGAAAATTGAATGAAATCTTTGATTTTAACCTTGTTTTTTTCTTCTAAAGTTTTACGAAGATCCATGAAATTTTCGACTTTCTCTTAAATTCAATGAAATTATATGTATATTTTAAAAATTAAAATATGTCACGAGATGATGTCGAATATGAAATTTCAGTATGCTTTGGCTCAACGTAAGGTATCTGCACTAAGTGCTGAATTGGAAGAATGCAAGGTTGCACTTGACAATGCAATTCGTGCTCGTAAACAAGCTGAAATTGATCTTGAAGAAGCTAATGTAAGTACTTTCGAGATGTTCTGCTGATTGATAGTATTGAAAAAATCCTGGAAAAAGTGGTTTAGTTTTTCTAATATCATTTCTTGGCTATTTATTATCATCATCTGTTTGTTGAAATAATCGTCAGTACCTTTTGTACTTTTATTTATTTAAAATTATAAATTATTGCTAAGTATTCTCCTTTATTTCTTTTGTTTTTCTTTCAACACTCACATTATTGATTTGTCTATTTAAAATTATAAAATTATATTTGCTAAATATTTACGTTTAAATTTATTTTTTTTTAAGGCTCGAATTACTGATTTGGTGTCGGTTAACAATAATTTAACAGCAATTAAAAATAAATTGGAAACTGAATTATCCACGGCACAAGCTGATTTGGATGAAGCAACCAAAGAATTACATGCCGCTGATGAGCGGGCTAATCGTGCTTTGGCTGATGCAGCTCGAGCTGTTGAGCAGCTTCATGAGGAACAGGAACATTCCATGAAAATTGATGCTCTCAGGAAATCATTGGAAGAGCAGGTTAGAAAAATGGAAATTTGCAAAATTTGATTCAAATTTGCACTTGGTAAAAATTTTGTTACATTACCTAAATTTAATAAAACTGATAATTTTTAAAATTACATTTGTTCATTTACTTTAAGAAATCTTTCATATCACTAGACGAATAATGAATGCATGGTTTCATTAATCTTTATTTCAGGTGAAACAATTGCAAGTGCAAATTCAGGAAGCAGAAGCTGCGGCTTTATTGGGCGGTAAACGTGTAATTGCTAAACTTGAAACACGTATTCGTGATTTGGAAACTGCTTTGGATGAAGAAACACGTCGACATAAGGAAACGCAAAGTGCGCTTAGAAAGAAGGACCGACGCATCAAAGAGGTGCAAATGCAGGTTGACGAAGAGCATAAAATGTTTGTGATGGCGCAAGACACTGCTGATAGGCTTCTTGAAAAACTTAACATTCAGAAGAGGCAACTTGGAGAAGCTGTGAGTTTTTAGCAAATTTCGTTTTTTTTTTTTCTTTTCAAAAATCATCATTTTTAACCAAAAAAGAGAACGAAGAGTGGAAAAATTTTTTTTTCTATGATTAACAATTCAAATTAAATTTTTTTTTACCATTGCGAAACAAGCTTTATATAGCTCTGTCTATCGTTAGTCATTTCATACAAAATTAAATTTAAATTTGAAATTTTTAATTAAACAAAGAATGATTGAAAATTTTATCATTATCTTGAGGAATCTCTAACGATGGCTAATCTTCAACGAGTACGTCGATATCAACGTGAATTGGAAGATGCTGAAGGTCGTGCTGATCAAGCTGAAAGCTCACTACATCTTATTCGTGCAAAACATCGTTCATCAGTTGTTACCGGAAAAAATGCTTCAGCATCGAAAATTTATGTTCTCGAGGATGAGCAGTAGATAATTAATCGATCTCAGCATCATAAGTCAACAATACATCAAAGGACGATAAAATTTAACAATAGCTATTCCTACTACTTCTACTGCTACTATCATTACTACTACTAATACTTTCATAGATTATGATAATGAAGAAGAAATGAATTATTGATTTTTCTTTTTTTTTTAAAAGAAATACAACGAACAAATTAATGACCTAACAAAAACCGAGAAAAATGTAATGAATTTTTTTATTTATATAATGTTTGGTATAATTTTCGATTACTTTTTTTTTTATTTTTTCATTTTAAGGTAAAATTTTCACCGCATTAAAAAAACAAGTCCTATTTTTTTTTCTTTCTTTTGTTAGTTTCACAGAAAAATCAAAAGTTATTTTTAGCAAAATAATTTAGTTAAGAATTTGTTTTCAATTTTCTTTCTGCTTCCTTAATTAATTAGTTATCTTACTTACAAAAACAGACAGAGAAAGATATATATATCAGTTTTTTTTTTTTCATCAAATATTTTTGATTTGTTACTATTAACCATATTCTGCCTACAAGCTTTTTTTGTGCGCTGATGTTTTGTCAACCCAATTAAGCATAATTAATCGATAATTGCTATTTTTCATTGTATGAATGAGAAAAAAACAAATAATACATTTTACACATCCGATAGTATTTTCTTATTCGGCGAATATAATTATTAAATTCTTCACACGTCAATTCAACGTTTCGATCCTTTTTCATGCCGATGCGTAATAATATATTCACAGATGTACGTATTGATTTTGGATCCGTTGTTTTAGCGTGAGGATTTTTTTTTTTCATTTTCTTTCTTTCACTGCGTAAGTTAGCTAACAATTTTTTTTCTATCTATTAGAAATTTAGCGTATTTTTGCTTACATACACACAAATACACACCCATAAACACTTTTAAATTTATGATTAGTTATACAACATTAAAATTAGAATCGCCGAAAATCAATATTGCTATACTTCATCATTGCAACAAATTTCATTTTCCTAGATTGCACGCAACTAAACTCCCCCATTGCTTACACTGCCAATTAGTTTATGTTTACAAATATATTATCTATTTAACTGCCATAGAGCATAACTGTAGCAAATCAAATTAAACTTGATGCTATAAATTTTAATGATACAATGAATTCTCTTAAACTTATTATTACTTTCAAGAATGGAGGGAGAGAGAGAGAGAGAGAGAGATTGCTATCTGAGATATTTTGGAATGTTACAGTAGTGTTTAATAATGTTTACTTTGCCTTACTTAAAATTTTGTTGTTTAGCAAATATTTAGTCAAATTGCGCAACAATTAGCTATTATCTTTTTATTATGATCAGTCATTATTATTTTTATTGCTGCATTATGCAAAATATTTTTCATCTTTCAGCTAATTATTAGTTTGCCTTCATTTTCTTCCTCAATTTTTTCCCTCTTCCACTAATTCATATAAATTTCTTTTTTCCGTTCTTCAAAATATGAGATATTTCGTATTTACCCGTATTCAAATGATAATAATATCAAAAGTGAAGAAAAATTTTTTTTTCACAAATTTACATTTGAAATTAGTTTCATCATTTACGGAACGAAAATTATAAACATTCAGTCACAATACTGTTGGACAAAGCGGTTATTATTAATTATGGCGATCGATAAATATTTAGAAACAAAAATTGTTATCATATATAAATACATCAATTCTGGACTTACAAATTAAACAGAATTGAAAGGGATATAACATCCAATTTAATTCGTTCATTTAATTCAGTCCATCTAATCAAAATGATTAGGCAAATTGGGATATTGACAAGTTTGCGACAAAATGCCAATTAAAATTTTGCAGTACTATAATTAATAACTGCATCAAACTTTGATGTCAAAAATTCCACTATTTATTAATGCAACAAGAAATTTAAAAAAGTATATACAATTAAATTAATGAAAGTAAGGAGAAAAGCAAGTTATCAATGAAAAAAGATAATGAAGAAAAATGCAACAGGAAACTGAAGAAATTAGAATATAACAAAATGGTACAAATGTTTGAAAGAAAAGAATTGCCCTATTCAATGCATTGATTATTGATAAGCAATTTGATTTTAAGAAATGGAAATATAATGAAATACTATCTTTTTATGAAAGTAAAAGAAAAAAGTTGAAAGTTTTAAAATTTTTTCAAAAAGGAACAGAAAAAAATTGAAATCTTTTCAAAAATGAAAGGAGAAGCAAATTTGAAAATGATTAAAATTACACGATAAATGCAACCAAAACGATAAAAATTTCTAATTTTATCGGTTGCATTCTACATTTAAAAAATGAAGTAATTATTGGAGTAAATTCTTTTCTTTAAACCTAGCAAATTAAATTTAATAAGCAACAAATTTGAAAGACTAAATTTTATGAAATTTTCTCTCGCACTCTACCAAAAGTAATTTTTTTTTTAATTTTCGAGATTTTCCTAAATCTTAGCAATTTATTCTTGGTAACTGAAAAACGATTTCCTTTCTTTATTTTTCAGTTACTGATTTAATATTCGGCAATAAATTGATTTGACATCTTTGCATTGCACTTATTTTTAATGAAATTATCATTTAAAAGGCGATTTTTCTTCGCTTTTTAAATTTCAAAAATCGAAATTACGCAATTGATATTGAATTAAAATATTACAAATTTATCAATGGTATCATTATAGTAGTAAGAAGGAATGGATAAATTGGCTTAAACGATGCAACAATTATTGAATTACTGCTATTCACTGCTGCGGTATTCGTATTGCACGCATCATTTTTGCAGGAACAAACCTGAAAATATTGAAATCATAATTACAATATATTACAATTGTTGATCATGAACTCACACATTATAATCATGATTGCGTTATGATTACATTATAGTTACTAATTATAATTACGTATATGTCATGGTTGCTAATTATGATTACGTATATATTATAGTTGCTAATCATGATTACATTATTGATAATATATCTACGGCATGATAAGTACAGAGGCAATCCGATTAATGCAATCTTTTTCAGATTTTGGATATATCCCGTTAAAATTTTATAAATAATTTTCATGCTCGTCTCTTGGGAAAAATCAACATATAAATTTTAGATTCGACAAATTGTTCAAAACAGACGAAAAAATCAAAAGCTTTCCTAATTTGATAAAATTTTATTTCATAGTGAATTTTAAGAGTTTAAGCATAAGTTATTGATCGTTTGAAGTAGAATATTTTTGATCACTGTTACAAGCATAGAGAAGGAAAATCAAAATTGAAAAATATTCATTTCCTTTCTTAAAAATTTTAAAATAAACTGAACTTTGATCAAAGTTACTACTTCCTATTTGGTGGAAAATATGAAATAAAAAATTAGCTCCTAAATTTTTAATTTAAAGAGAGCTATTATTATTAGTGAAATTTTTTTCAGAATCTAGCAATGAATTCATGCAAATTAATCAAGCGTAATTAAGTGCCTTATTTCGATCCATGGCATCTTCCTTCTTTAATCTTTTTCATTTTTTAAGATTACGGAAAAGCAATAAGACATAAAATAACATAATATCTTTCGTTTTTCTTTCTTCAATTAATTAATAATTAAAAATGGACAATATTCCTGCTATTTTTCATATATTTTAAATTAAATAAATTCAAAATTTAACATATTAATTATGCAAATCATAGTCACTTAATAGAAGGCAGATAAATTTTTAAATTCATAAAGTTTAAACTTTTAAAAATTAAAAATTAAAACCTCAAATTTTTTGAGTCTAGAATTTAAAAAAGTCTTGAAAAAACATATGAGCTTAATTGTACAGTTTAAGTTTTTTAAATACGTCACAAATTATTCTCTTTTATTTATATATGAATAAATGCTTAATTTCAAAATAATTCCTTTCAATCAAAATTTTCCTCTTCCTCTGATGAGTGAATTTCAAAGATGATAAGTGTTAATGTTCAGTAATAATTGTCCAAAAAAATTTTTATAATTGAACTTTTATTTAGTTAAAAATCAAGTAGGGATAATAAAAATAAATGTATGAAGTATGATTATTAGTTTTATTTGGATTAATGGACTAATATTTACTAATAATAATTGGACTAACTTGTACATGTTCATCGGCTTCAATTGATGGCCAAATTTGAGATAAAGGAAGTTTAAGACAAATTGCTTCGGAATGAAGGAAGTCTACTTCGGGTGGACGATTTCGAATTGAATTGAAAATTTTCTCCGCACAACCACGAATATATGTATAAGGTGTATTTATTGATTGTACACCTGAAAGCATAATTTATTTTTTTTTTTGGAGAAAATTTTCAAAAACTGAAATTGTTAAATTTGGATTATTGAAAACTTAATTATTGTAATATTTGTGTTTCCATTTTAATTTTGGGCAGTGAAAAAATTGAAAGTTATTAGTAAAATAAGCTAATGTAATTTTTTTTGCTTTTTTTTTTGTTCATCAAAAATACTGTTCAATTTAGATTAGATTTGGTTAAATTGCGATATTTAACGAAGAAAACTTGATATTTCTTATTTGTTAAAAATGAAAAAGTATTAAATATAGAATAGAATCATCTATAAATTAGAATAGGTGCATTTGTTTAATTTTTTAAGACGAAAATTTTAATTAACGCTTAATTTACGCATTTTCTAAAAATAATTCCCCGTGTGATTTTTTTCATTTCTTTCTTTTTATCTGCTAAAAAAAATAAATTTCATGATAATTGCCATATAAAAATATTGAAAATTTATATTAAGAAAAGCAAAAAAAAAAACGTGAAACAATTATTAAAAATATTACAGTACTGTAAATGTTTTCAATATTTTTACCATACATTTTTATCTATCAAAAAAAAAAAAAAATGCTATAGTTCATCGATCTGCAGTATTCCTTCAACTGTAATACTGTAATAATTACCTCCGAAATATTGTGGTTCTATGATGGAAACACATGTTGAAGCGCATTTGATTAATGGCGCAAATGCTTTTAATTGTTCCAAGCTATTACAGAATTCACCGAAACGTGGAATAGTTGCGGAATGTCGGAAAACCGTAAAACGTTCAAATAAAAGTTTATAGTCAGTGGAAGCACACGTAAAGCATCTAGAAAAAATTGAAAAATTTTGAAAATAAAAAAAAGAAATGCTTGAAAAATTTTTAAACAATCATCTTCATTAAATAAGGAAAAAGAGGAAGGAAAGTTTCATTATATATTATCAATTATTTCATTTCTTTTTCTTGAAAATAAAAACTCTTACTTAATTGCATAGCCTATCGTTTGCATCGAAAGTGATAATAATAGAGTGATTTGATATAATTGCATGATAATTGATGATCAATAATATGATCATTTCAAGTAGAATGAATTAATACAGTGTGTAAGATTGAATTAATTTGCACATTTACGTCAAATTTCATTAAACATTTGCTAAAATAAACAGCAAACAAATTCGTAATTGCAAATGCTCTGAAAAAAAATACTTTTTTTTTTAAACAATTTCAAGAAATAGTGAGCAGCAACACTTTGTTTGCAAAGAAACAAACATTTAGTGATTCGTTTCAAAAATTGAAGTAATACAAATAATTGAACTATAAAAATTATCAGTCGTGTTGAGATCAACCGGGAAAAAAATTGGAAGAACAATTGAAAAGAAAATCCACCAATTAGCTTAAATTGGTGCATATTCTTCAAAAAGTAGGAATCCATACTATTCTAATGCTATCAGAATTCAGCAATTTCATAAATGATATGCTATATTCATCTAAAATAATTTAAAATCAGCTAATCATTGAACACTTACAGTAATTAAAGTAACATGCATAATTGAAATTATAAGCATAATTGAAATTTCGAAATTATTAATCATATTGAGATCCAATAATTATCTTTAGCAAGTATCTGATCAGAGAATTAATTAATACTGATAAATGTGATAGCTACTGTTATTACATTTCTGTCCGTTCCTCAGTCATTCATATTTCTCTCTGAGGATTAACACTGATTTTTGGAAATTGACTAAACGATATCAATTGTCAAATCCTTCTGTTTAGTTTATTTTTCTGGGCTTTTTTGAAGTCTTAATGGATGTAATTTATCAAAATTTATGCAAAATCTTTTTGTCTTACTTGAAAAAATTGGCAATATATTTCATTTTATATTACAATTATATGTCTTTCCCAATTATTTTGAATATTTATGATCAGATCTCTGTATGTAAAGCTTCTCTGTCATTGTTTACCTATCCATTTAATTATTCTATGAATTCAGATTATGACAAATTTATATACTATCATTTATTAAATAATTGTAAAAATAAACATGAAAAAATAATTCCACAAATAATAGTTTGAAAGATAAATGACACAAATACCATCGTGGATCACGACGTGACACGCGTCATACATTCTTCAGATTCTTCTTGATTGGTAAAATATATAATTAATTTGAAATGAAATTGAATGATTATAAAATTTTTAAATAATCTATTACTATTGTAACACACATTGTAACATTTGGGAACTTCGGCATCTGTTTCAGATTGTCAAAAGCATAATAAAATTTTTAAGCATTCTGAATTATATTTCACTAATACACTACCACGGCTTTTGTAAATCAATTTAATTTATTTAAAATAAATTTTGAATTAAATATATATGATACATTTATATGTATATATTCTGTAATAAAAATATAAACCAAAACATAAAAAATGTCATCCGAAATCCCAGAAGAATGGAAGAAATGTACATTACAGATTAGTAGATGGAATGACAAAGTGAACCAAAATATTTCTGTTAAACATACAAACATTCAGTTTAAAATCTCTTTAAATCTAAAATCAATGAAATACTTGAGCTTCTTTATTGCGGTACCACAAACAGTTTCCGTGATATTTTCACTTTCACTTATAACTTATTATTTGTGCAAATTAAGAATGAAAAAGAGAGAAAAAATGAAGTGGTTTTAAATATGAATTGCAATATTTTATTTGAATGCTTTATTTGAAGTTTTCATAATTTGAATGCTAAGTTAAGTGCATAAGATAATGCTCCATTTAAATATATGAAAATTTTTGACTCCATATGAAATATTTGATAAACAATATGTATATACACATATATATATACATATATAATGATTCTTTTTAGGAATTTAAAAATGTCGGACTTTTATTAATTTTAAAATGAAAGAGAGAAAGAAAAGAAAAAATGTCAATATGTGTCGGATAATAAATTCCTGAGAATTGAGACAATTTTAAACGATGCCATATGTCGGAATGCTTAGATGGAAGAAAAAAATTAGTTTGATTAGTGAATGGTAACTCCGAACAAGCCATTATAAAACTTTGAAATATAAGATAAACGAAGTTGATGATAGAATTAATAGATTATGCTCAATCATCCAACCGTATCTTTCCATTATCATCATTTCATACCGTATCTTTCAGTTACCATCATTTCATACCGTATTAATCTTATTGAGATAATGCGTAATTTATTTCATTCTTTCTATTTCTGTAACAATTATCAGTCAGTTATGATATGGTAAAAGAGAAAGAAAATGAGAAATAGAAATTATAATTTTGATTAAATTTAAATTTAAATAAGATACATGCATGCAGTGTGACAAAGTATGCAACAACGGAAAAAAGGTACCACTTCAAATAATGATAATATCCTTACTATTGAATTTTTTGACATATAGTTTTTATTATTACAGTAATAATTATTTCAGATATTTTGAATAAATTATAATCGACATAATTTTCTTTATTTCTTTTTTTCATTTTATGGGTGATTTTTATTTGCTAATTGGAATGCAATTATTATTGTAATTCAAATATTTCTTAAATATTGGATTATCAATAAACATGAGATTATGATAACATGGATTGGATAGCTATGATAAGATAGGAATAAGTTATAATAAAGCAAATGATAGTACAAAAAAGTGTGGTTAAACTAGTTGAGAATAGCTGAATTATTTATTGCTATCTTTTTCTCAGTAAAAACTTTTCAAAAAAGAAAAAGGAAGGAAAGAGGAGCTCATAGAGAGTGGATCATCACTCGTATTATTAGTTTTGCAATATTGTCACCGACATTCCGATTCATTTTATCTCCTTTTTGACACTGTTCTAAAAAGAATAGGAATGGAATGAACGACAATAAAGAGAGAAGCATTTCAAAATTTTTATGATTGGTCACAAATTTTGCATTACAAATGAAAAAAACGATAAAATATCGCCTTGTCTTTTTTATTTGTTATTGTCGCCAGAAGAAAAGTTTTTTTCATTCATCATATGAGATTTTTCATCGAAAATTAAATGTTTACAACCTATTTTTTAAAAAAAAGCAAATTTTTAAACAATTTCCAATATTTAATATTTCAAATTATTTATTAAAGATAAAATTGAATAAATTATGTTTATTATAATTGATTATGTGTTAATGATTTTTTACTTTTACATGTAAAGTTTTTACCCAATTTTTTTATTGATAAAATGATAATATTAACATGTTCGATCAAATTTTTTCTTTCATATTTTACTTTAAAATATCATTGCTTTATGTGATGTTTATGATTGATTTTTGCACCTACTAAATGAAAAGTATTCAAAATAATTATTAAAAACTCAAAATGTGAAATAAAATGTGAATTGAAAAAATAGAAATTAACTAGCTTAACCTAATAATATTTTAACAGTACTGATAGCTTTTTTTCTGCTTTTTTTTTCTTTCGTTTTTCATTTCAAATTCTGAGAGGAAATTTGAGAAAAGATGTGGGAAAAAAAATTGAATGGAACGTTTGGACAATCTGAAACGATGTTTACTTAAAAAGGCACTTTAAGCTGGCAGCAGCGGTATTGGTGGATGAGATTAGCTGGGAGACATCTCATTTGATGGATTTTAGTTAAATTTAGTGTTAAACTGATTTCTTTTCCTTTCAACTCACCATTCCTTCTTCTGGCAGTGATTCCATTGGGAACGATTGAAGCAAATTCCAAAAAAAGCTACGAAAATGAGTTTTGGCTTATTTGCTAGAAGTTAGCAAATTTGGCCATGTAATTACAAGGCCATCAAAATATTGGAGTAAAAATTAGGAGATATAAAACACAATAATAAATTTCAACATCATCATAATCATTGTTACCGTTATCATTGTTACTATCATCACCATCATCATTGTCATCATTATCATCGCCCTCATTATTATTATTATTGCTGTCTTCATCATTAACCTCACCAATATGTTCATTAGCATCATTCTCGGCATTATCACCATTATTATCATCGTTTCATCATTGTCATATCAATATCACTGTTAGCATTGCACCATCAACAGCGACAACATCAATGATGATTTTTGCTCAATGAAAAGGACAAAAAAGTAGGAGAGAGTTAGGAAAAAGAAATGTAATAAAATCTGAAAGAATGGCAAGTTTTTCTCTGTGGCTAATGCCAAGCTATTATGACCATTCAAAAAGGACAAATGCTAAGTAGATTATTTTTCAATTCTATTCCAATGCCTTCTTGTCCATAATAAATGGAATGACTAACAATTTCAAGTTTAAATTATTTCCGTAAAAAAAATTTTTTTTCAAATTTCTGACGAATAATTTCTCGTATCATCTGAAATATGATAGAGATACAGAGGAACACAATAATGATAAAATGTTGAATAAGACATCTGAACAGTTTACAGATGAAATTTTCAATTTTTAATGAAATAAATCAGGAGGGAGAATAATAACACCAGTATCAGTTAATAGAATTTATTTACAATTTGAATCACTGATAAGGAATTCAAATCATCAAGGAGAATGGACAGATAGACGGATAGATGGATGGGTGGATGG